ATCAATTTCTTCTGATTGAACATTCTATACTCTCCAATCCTCTCACAGTAATTTTTTAGCCTGAGATGCCAAAATATTCCGGAAGCTCTTCTCATATTTTTTCAAAGTCCTAGTCATAGATATTTTTGTCATACTTAAGCCACATGACATTTATGAGATTACACAGGTTACTCAGACCTTCGTAATGCAAACCTACTGACATCGATTACTTCGAGAATATGATATAAATTATTTGCATTGGGTAAGTCGGAAGTAACATTTTTATTGTAATCTATCCAAAAATTGGAATCTTTGAATCTCACTCTGCCTCTACGATGCGCTATAAAGAGACTTCCCGGCCTCGAAAACTTTCCGACCTTGGTAACTTACCGATCCCCGGAAGCATATCAACGTTGATAAGTAAACGTCACCCAAAAACTTATCGTCCATGGTAACTAATCGACTCTGGTAACTTATCGACCCTGGTATTTTACCGGCCTCAAGAAATTTAACTTACCCATCATTGATCAGTTTTTATTGTGTTACCCACTCTTACCGACGAAGATTATCACATTGAAGTTTTAACACTGTACGGCAGTGTCGCTCTTTTATGTTGACAATTCTTGAGCTTCCTCATTTGTTACAGACGCTGTATGAGAGTGTAGTTGCATCACCAATATCGTGAAAAATACAAAACTGTTTATAAATTAGACACGTGTAATACGGCAGTATTTTAACAAAAAATAACCTCATAAAAGACAGTGAATAACTTTGTTAACATACCTATGGTAGATGCGGCTCCTCTCGTCTAGCTACGACACTATCTTCGGTGATTTCCCTTACTGATAAAATTATGACTGATAAAATCAGAAACATTGTCGATCCAGATATGTAAAACAAGTCTCCGAAGGTTAGGATCCTTTACTCCGTTTGCCAACAATTAAATTTTCTCTTTTTCTGTTAAAGTAAGGAGTTACATTAGATTTAATTTGGTTTCTGCGTATTCGACAAACTTCTCCGCTTGTGACCTCCAAATTCGCACACTTATACAGGCTAGTATTACTCTATAAGTTTCCTTTCCCTCAAAGTATTTTCGTAATTAGAATTTAAAGTTTTCCCACGTAGTTACTGACTCCAACAGTTGTCGGTTGTACCAATTTAAAGCTCTCTTTTTTAATTGACTTACTGAAGTTAATATTAAAACGTTATCATCAAATTGATACATACGTCCGATATAATCAATATGTTCGAACCATTTGGACACATTTTCTTCATCACTACCAGCGAAGAAAGAACTTTACTCGTTGCAAACAATTTGCTCCTGGTTCCGATATTCCCGTCGGTTACTTTAAAAGGCTACACCACCTTGATAGCCTGAAAAGGATACGTGACTTTGGGAATTTTTATTACCAAAGAATGAAGTAAATGAAAAATCCGTTATAAGGATTTGATTAAGTATCTTTTTAAGGATAGAATAATATTTTTTAACTTCTCGTCAAGAAAAAATAGCGGCTCTGGAGGCGTTGTACAAAAAATCGTTTGAGGACGTCAGTCCAATTGGCGTTGTGAGGTTCTGGCAGTGTGACCTAGCCCACAATACTAAAAATATTTATTTTCTATTGGGGGTACAAATTAGTTCGGTCCGTTTTTTGTGGTCAAAAATGCATTTATTTCAGAACAAAATGAATGAACAGATTAATCAAAGTATTGTCCGTCGCTGGCTACTACTTTTTCCCACAACTCAGACAATTTTCGAACTCCATCTCGAAAAAATATCTCGTCTTTTGAGGCGATTCCAGTTAGGAGCCAATTTTCGATTTCTGCGAAAGAAGTGAACCGGTGACTTGCCAAATCGTGCTGCATCTGTCGGAACAACCAGTAATCAAAAGGAGCAATGTCCGACGAATACGGCGGGTGCGGTAAAATATTCCACTTGAGCGCTTACAAATAATTTTTTACGACTTTTGCGACATGAGGCCGAGCGTTATCATGCAGAAAAATAACTTTGTCATGTCTTTGTTCGTATTCCGGCCGTTTTTCTTGTAATGCACGGCTGAAACGAATCAATTGTAGCCTATACCGATGGCCCATAATGGAATCGCCAGGTTTTAGCAGCTCATAGTATACAACCCTTTTTTTGGCTGTCCAGAGCGAGGCTTGTCTTCAACGCTGAAATCATCATTTTTGAAACGTCGAAACCTTTCCCTAAATGATTTATCAGTTGGAGCATTGTCATTATAAACTTCTACAAGCATTCGATGCGCTTCAGCTGCACTTTTCTTCCAATTAAAGCAGAAAACTAAAACCTCCCGCAAATGCTGCTTAGTTGACACAAAATTTGACATATTTAACACAGTAAAAAACAGAGGTTTTGTATGAAACTCAAAGCGATATAAACTGAATATTATTGACAGATGTCTAACTACTCTGAAACCACCGAAGTCAGCTGTCACTATGAAACATTCATAACAGCCAGAACCAACTTTTGAAAACGGGCCGAACTAATTTGTACTCCCAATATATGATATGATCTAAAAAATACACAGAGGTTTTTCGAAATATTGATTCTTTTGAAAATGGTAAGCACTTAAAAAAAAGGTTCATTTTTGGCCAAAAATTTCGTGTCGATAAAAATGTCGATAAAGAAAAGTATTTAATACATCACAAAATCCCTATGTACTTTTTTAGATTGTATCAATTAGAAGATTCTGTCAAAATTTTAAGTAAATCGGATAAATAATTTATGAGATCCTCGCAACACCAACTTTAGAAAAGTGATTTAAAGAAAAACGTGTTTAAAATATTGCTTTACATTATTTCGTGTCTAAAGTGCAAAATAGCAAATTTCCCGTTATTCCAAAATTCCTACACCATATAGCTGCCCTTATAAGTTAATATTGGCCTCTTCTTTGTCCTTTAGGCTTGTTTTAAACAATCTCCGCACGTCTTTGACAGCATAAGATATTGAGCGCTCAGCAGCCTTCATGCGTCGAGCGTCCGCATTAGTGCAAGAGTTGTAACAATTGTGGCCAATAGTCAGGTTTAACACATGCATAATTTACATTATACTCATCAATCCATCATTAAAATTGCAAACAGTAATATCTGCTGCTATATTCAGGAAAATTTTACCGCTTAAAGATGTTTTCAGTGCTATTGACCACACAAGAGCAATAAAACTTTAGTTATTGTTTTACGTAAAACCTTCTAGATAGCATGTTATTAAAAATACCGAAGTATATACCTGGCAATACTGTTTCTTTTACCTTTCGGAGTTTAGCTGCGCTGAGCTTCTCAGAGCTCTTCGACGGCATTGCGGCGCGCTCCACTAAACTGACTTAAAACTCGACGTAAAGAAAAATTGAATTCCTTATTTAAATGATTAGAATCTTATTTTTAAAACTATAAACTATCTTTTAAGTAAACAAAATCGATTTTTGAAGACTTTAAAGTGGTGTAACTTCTTAGCTTACCAAAAGGCGAATGAAACAACTCCGGCTTTGCTACAGTAGTGACAAGCGGTCATTGACTCTCTTGAAGTATTTGTACCACTGATTGCACGATATCCCGAAGGTTCACTCCTCCAATTGCAATATTCGCAGTCACATTTTCTCTGAGTTCTTATACTCCTCGAATCCCAAACGACGGCGTCCGCGTAAAAACAGGTTACGTTATATCCCTTAGATTAGGATTCTTTCTCCCTCAGAAACAGATGCGACATTATCATCAGAAATTTCGACCGTATTTACGCTTGTTGCCTCTAGATTTTTCGACCAGCAATGACGTTTGAAATAGTTCAACCAACGTTCGAACAGAATAAGACAAGTTCCTTTCGTTTCCAGTCGCAATGCTGAGGCTACTTCCCGAAATTCATTGATTGAAGCACCACTGAAGTCCTATTTCCTTATCGATAAGGGCGATTTATAGTTTATCAATCTTATTACATTTAAAATATTTACGTCGGTAATACGATATTCCTGCGTAAAGTATATCTCTCACCAACGTCCCAATATGGCGGACTTTATCCGAATTTCCAATTCTTCTATAATATTCAATGGTACATACAAGAATCCCTCTATAGTCCGAATAGATTCTTATGTCGCAATTTTAAATCATGATCATGAGACAAGATAAGATCGATTTCTCCCTTTAGCAATATGAATGAATCTCCATAATTATACAATCACTATTAGTTCTAGTTTGCACAATATCTCCGTCCACATGGCAATCTCAATATATGTTATGAAATACTCTTTATCAGGAACTTCTATAGGTGAATCCCACTTTTGATCATTAATATCCTGTAGGCAACTTCAGGATACTAGATTGATATTTAAATGAATATACTTACGAATACGACGTACAAAATATGTGACATTACAATTAACTTGCAATACAGTTTATCTCGAATAGCTCAATGGTCTGGATATACGATTCGACACGGCAGTAATTATTCTTTTACTTCTGGTCCAACCGACTCATAAATTCAAAGAAAATGAGAAAATCCTTAGATCATCTTTCCACTCATGCTCGATTATTCTAAGCAGTCCCTCGCTTGTAATATACGGCACACTCTTCATTAGACGGTCCGGTCTCTCTCTCCTCTTGTCTCATACTAACTTCTTATATTTACAAATATGATAGCTAGCTATCCAACGAATATATATACATATTATAAATAAAAATCAAAGCATACAGATAGCTATAGGAATTTACATTTTTTGCACGTTCTTTCACTCATTGTACCTTCTCTGTAAACAGAACAAATCATATCGGCTGCCTTAGAAACGTTTTTATTGAGATTAAACGCAAAACTCATACAGTGTCAAATATGCTCGTTTTCGTAGACCGTGATGTTTACTACTGATTTTTAAGATTATGTTGTTTAAATGTCAAACTACATGGCATATTTTAATTTTGAAAGCCAATACTTTAAAATAATAAAAGGGCGAGAAAGTAACTTAAATTCAAACGATTAAATTCAAATGATTTATATTTTTGTGAAAATTTGAGCGGCACAAATTAATTAATACATCTTTTAAATGACAGAACTATTACAATCGTAGATATTTAGATATAGTTAGACACTATCATAAAAATAATATCATTTTATTAATATGTTTATAAGCTATCATGAATTTATATAAACTAGACAGTCTTCTAAAATTATATAGATTTAAAGAAAATCCCTAACTGTGAAATGTATAGTTTTGTTGTATTCAATTATTTCTTTCAGTTGACTTCAGTCATTTTGACTTATGTTTATTTATTCTAGTGTTTTAATTATTTGTAATCATATAGTTACACAATAATTTTTCAAGGTTAAAATTCTAATTTTAATCCGTTCATGTTGTAAATTAGTAATAGAAGCGTGTAATTTATTATTTACTATATTAATTTATTATTGCGAGATATGATATAATAGTTTTACTTACTATAAAGATTAATTCTTTATTCAAAACAATTCAGTCTCATTGGCACATTCCGGGGCGTAGTTTTTTCAACCAAAAGTGCTCCTTGAGGGAATAAAATTACAAAGTACAATTGTATAACACTGAGTTGGAAAAATGTGAAAAAGAAAATTCTAACCGAAAGATTCAAAGAATGCTCAGTGTAGCATTTATAAGTAGCGAACGATTTTCCATGACTTGTGTGTAATTGAGAAAAAGATAAGCATATGTCTGTTACAGAGAAAGAGTTAAATTCGATTAATTTTAGTTATTCTCAAATATATTCCACCTTTTGGCGTTAGTAGGAATGCTTTAGGATCATTTATATATGGTATTTGCGTTTTCTCGCATATTTCAATATTGTAGTTTTGCAGTATCTTTACGAGTCCAACTTTAATCTGATAATCGGCAAAACGGAAACCTAAAAATAAAAAGTAAAACCGTTAAAGAAATTATTGCTTTATCTTTGCATTTAAAAAAGGGTGTTTCGAAAATCTATTAGGTGCAAAAATTCGTCATAAGGTTATAAATAGATGGCTGTCGCTATAATAGCGACTCAGTAATTTTTTTCCTATAAGTTGCTTTTTAGATTTTTTAATATTGGCCATATTGAGTCAGAATTGATAGTTGATAATTCATAGTTCCGAACTAAACATCACATTTAACTTAATTAAAAATTCGATAAAGCTTCACCTTCAGAAAATAAAACTTCATGTTTGTTACTGCTTTACCAATTTAATCAAGACAAAATTGCTGCAACAACTAAAAGACTGATTTGTGAGACCTATGAGAGAATATCTCTCTGCTGCACATCCAGCACACTTTATTTGAGGAGTGTACCATAGATATTATTTTGGGATATCGCAATAATTGTAGGATATCCTAAGATGGTCTTAGATGATCATCCGTTGAGTATCCAGCAGATGCACAAATCTGTCTATGTCATATCCTATGGATATTTTAAACGATGCCTAAGGATATTCGTGAAAGTTCGTAAGAAATATTAAAAATATTTCGTAAAATAATCGTAAAATATATTATTATTTACTAAGATAGTAATCACATGTCATATGTCAGTCATTTTTTAATTACGAGAGTGGACCAAATATAAATGGGTCTTTCTAAATCGCGCGCTCGTCGGTGGCGTGAGGGGTCTGTAACGTTTTTGGACAGTGGAAGGGGGTCATGTGGAAGGCAGTTATAACGTTGGCGCGCCACGTGCTTCTTACTCTCAGCAGCAATCACGATAAGCGAGAAAGAGGTACACCCCGCAGTTGCACAATGTGTTATTATCAAGTTTTTCGTCAACAAAAATGTAAATGCTGCTGAAATTCGGCGCCGTTTACTCCCACAATTCAGGGGAAAACCCTTTCATGGGCTCGGGTGAAGCAGTGGTATAACAAATTTAAGAAAGGACGGGAGCATGTAGAAAACATTGCCCATTCGTGCCGTCCTCGTACCAGCATCACAGCGCAGAACACCGAGGCTGTTCGAGAACTCATCGAAGGCGATCGGCACTTAACTGTTTTTGAAATCTCTCAGGAACTTTAGATCAGCTATGGAAGTGTACATTCAATCATTCGCAATGAGTTGGGATTTCGAAAAGTATCGGCTCATTGGGTTCCAAAGTTGCTGAATGCAGAAATTGGCAAAAATTTGCTGACATACACTAGGCTGTCCTAGAACATCCACCTTGCAGCCCAGACCTGTCACCATGCCACTTCCATATGTTTGGGCCACTCAAGGAAACCCTTGGTGGACAGCGCTTCACAACGAACGAGGTGGTGCTGCAGTTCGTATGCAACTGGTTTGATACACGTCCGCGAACTTTTTATGATGCCAGGATTAAAAAATTACCAGACCGTTGGATGAAGTGTATAGATAAGATGGGAAGACTATATAGAAAAATGAGAACAATGTAAATTAGAATTGATTTTGAAGAATATATGGTTTTTTTTGCAAAAGGTTCGTTTATATTTGATCCACCCTCGTACTAGACGTTACTTGTACTAACTCAGATAACCAAGTGTGATTAAACATTTTGAGCAAATTAATACACAGCACGTGATGTTATATGTTTACTGTACATTTGTTAATTGAATAGAATATGTTACTGAATGCAGTAAAATGCATGCTCATGTAAGCAATCGGGTGTCGAAATTTCAAAAGCAAACGATCAGCTATAGTAGTATATTACGTTATCAACATTATTACAACTGAAGATTTGCCGTTTCGTTTAGAACATGGCAACAGTATGATGGTAACAACGTGAATGTAACAATGCCCATTCATTGTTGAATATATATTCTCAAATTATGAAGCTTTTTAATTGTATAATTGTTGTAAACAAAATATTAACAATATCATCAATATCATACTATAGCGTTGAAAATCTATAATTTATGTTATGCATGTCACAGATTTCATGCTTGGCAGTGAATATCAAAATGCAGCATCTATTTTCAATGCAGCTAAAGTACTAACCATTTGAAATTTTTGTATATTTATGACAATTTTTCGATAAGAAAATTTCGACAAAAAATTACTATGAAATAAAAGGCATGACGACACAAAAAGAAGCAAAATAATCTTCCGTCTCTAGTATAGTCTAGTATGTTCTAAATTTCTTGAAGTAAAATTTTCACTCGAAAAATAAAATAAAAACCTAGCCATTCGAATTGAAGTGACATTTTGTTCTTACGAAGTAAATTCTTTCACCCCACATTGTGGAGTAAACATTTTATTCTGTATTGTAAAATGAATATTTTCACTTTGTAAAATTTTTCACTCATAAAATGAATATCTTTACACATAATTGAAGAATACATCTGATATGTTCAACGTCATTTTCTAATAATGCATATTACAAGCAAGCAGTCGAGCCTTATTGTAACCGTCGTCTCACAATTGTTTCAATTTTTTTTTAACATACTTAATTACATTTTAGGAAACAAATATTTAAATAGAAATACTTAAAAAGCCACACCATATTTTTACATATTATTAATAACATTTTAAAAACTACTAATTTACATAATAATATTATATTATACTTCTATTATAAAATATAAATGATATACTGCAAAACTCGGAACTATATGTAAATAATAATAATAATACAGAAATTGACTTGTTAGTTAAGGCGAGATAGTGTACGGATGGAGTACGAAAAACAGTTCATTCACAATCTGAAAATCCTGAGTTCGACCTCGGCCAGTGGTAAGCGAATGTTTCAAATACAATTATAAATAGGATTTATTCATTGCCAATGCTGAAAATTTGATATATAAGTAATTGACAAAAATATCGTTAATAACATCTTGAAAACAATGCAATAAGAAAGAATGTAAATTGGAAATAATAATTTTTTTTATTGAAACATTTATTGAAACATTTATGATAACAAATTGACAGCAAGAAATTTGTTAATTTGTTCTCATGAATCATCTCTTTTGGATAGCAAATTGATATTAATATGTTGATATTAACTTGCCGCTGTTAAATTAGAAATCACGGGAATTCAACGCGACAGACATAATGATGTCTCATCTTGTTCCTAGTTTCTTGAAAATAGATGCTTCAACAATTAACGGCAATACGACAGCAACTGAATAAACATTTGGCTGTCTGGGTAACTAAACGTAAAAAAATGTACGTAAATACGAGGTCTGTTCAAAAAGCATCGCAAATTTTGTGTTTTTTCAAAAATTATTTATTTATTCATGAATATCTATTTTGTCTCCTTCAAAGTAATCCCCATCAGATATTTTACACTTGTACCAATGTTTTTTCCAATCCTCGAAGCACTTCAAAAAATCATTTTTTGTGATATTGTTCAGCTCCTCCTTCGATGTCGTCTTTAACTCCTCAATCGTAGCGTAGCGTCGTCCTTTCATGTGCCTCTTCAGTTTCGGGAACAAGAAAAAGTCACAGGGGGCCAGGTCTGGGGAATACGATGGCTACGGCATCATTAGTGTGTTGTTTTTGGCCAAAAATTCGCGCACAAGCAACGATGTGTGAGCAGGGGCGTTGGTACGAATTTCGCGGCGATCCATCTCATGCCCAAATCATTAGTAAAAATCGAATGGCACGAGCCAATCGATATGTTTAGGTCCTCAGCAACTTCTCTAACGGTGATTCGACGATTGGCCAATACTATTTTCTTCACTTCATCAATGTTTTCGTCTGTTGTTGACGTGCTCGGGCGTCCGGCACGCTCTTCGTCGTTCACATCTTCTCGGCCCTCTGAGAACATTTTGTACCACCGATAAACGTTGCTTCGGTCCAAGGTAGCTTCACCATATGCCACAGTCAACATTCGGAATGCGTCCGCGCACTTAATTTTGTTTTTCACACAAAATTTGATACAGATTCTTTGATCCATTTTTTGGAATAGGCAAAAATCGAAGACGAGCCAAAACACGTCCAAGCAAAACAGCTGTCAAAGATAAACTGAATATTCAAAATGGCCGAACTTGTCGGCATAAGTGAGGGACATGAGTACCAACATAACGCCACAAAAAAATCGAAAATCGAATATACGTAACCCGCGGAAATTCAAAATTCGCGATACTTTTTGAATAGACCTCGTATGCGTAGAATATATATTGCAAACAGTGTTTTGTATATTAGATTGGCAAAACTCCGGCAGCAATCAAGCATAGTTCGTCATTTTAACTAGTATCGGCCGAAATGCAACAAGAACCCAGCAAACTTTGCTACATGACATGCTAACAAAATTACGATAAGAATGCGGTACAATTTGTCAATGTGAAAAGAATAAAATTTAATCATATTGTGCGTTCACAACGTGACAGCAGAAAACTCGTACGGTAAAACTCGAACATATTGTATTTTCACGACATGACAGTAAAAATATGACACAATCAAGTACGACGTGCAATGATAACATGACGGCAAAAATACGACAAATATCGATCACAATCTGCAATATTAGCTACTGAAGGCAAAAACGTGACACAAACAGAACACGACCTATCGTTATAATGGCAGTTTTGCTGTTCCTATTGTTACGTCATAACGGCACGCTATGCTCGAGTTTCGTTTTTGCTGTCATGTCGCAAGCGATATGCCATGCTCAAGTTTTGCCGCCTTTAGCTATAATTTAATGTCGGTAGGATGTGTAAAATTTTTTTGAATTTTCTTCGTTACATTATGTTAGCAGACCAGATGTCAAATCGACATCGATTCGATATAATTTCGATTGTTTCAACGTCGATTAAACGTCAATTTGACATTGATTCGATATACATATCTCGTTGAATCGAAGTTGTATAAAAATGACTAATAACATAATATCGTGAAATATATTATGTGAAGCAAAGAGCATTATATATGGCAGGATATTTGGATATAGTGAGATTTTAATTGGATATCGTGAGTTCTATTGGAATATCCTTGCCACTAAGACACTGAGATACCTGTGGGTTTGCATTTGGAAATCTGGAACAGTTTGGGATATCCTCAAAATAAAGTGCTGTGTGGCTGCAGTCTGTGGTTTAAAAGGTTTAAAGTGATTACGACGTCAAATTACGTTATGGTCGTCTAAATAAGATGGAGAACAATGAATTGAAAACATTTCTTAATTCGGTCCAAACATTAATAGAGCGTGCAAGGCAGCTTGGAGTTGATGAATCAATAGTATCTCGCCATTTCAAAGCAATGGGCAAGGTCCAAAAGGAAGAAAAATTTTCCTATAAACTTAAATCTCTCAGCAAACGTGATTTCGAATCAGCTGTTACCGTTTGTCTCTCACTGCTTGCCAGGTACAAAAGCAGATTTTTTGTGACGAATAATTATGGATGATGGAAAGTGAATCAATGTTGACAATCCTAAACATAAAAAGTCTTCGGTTGATCCTGGCCAACCATAGACACACACATCAAAACACAACATCTACGGCCATAAGATTCTCTTTATGTATCTGGTGGGACCAAGAAGAAGTGCATTACTATGAGTTATTATCTCCGAGGCAGACAGTCATGAAATTGTTACAAGAGATTGTTGCAGTCAACAATTATGGCGTTTGAATCAAGTCATAGTAGAAAAACACTTTCAAATAGTCGCAGATCGACGCAAATTTATCCTGCTTTATAACAATACCAGGCTGTATATTGCTGTTGCGACTAAAGAGATATTGTTCAAGTTAAATTAGGAAGTCTCACCGTACCCTATACTTTCCACTAATACACGGTTCCAAGATACTGAAGAAGTGCGAAAATAAATCAATGAATATATTAAACTCAAAATATGAGTCATTTTATCAGTGCAGAATCAAATTTTACTGTTCGTAAGATGGCAAAACGTTATTGATAGCAACGGCCAATATTTTGATTAGAATATTTATATTATATGTCATCTTATTGTTATTGATAAATTAAAATGGCTTTATCATACGAACTTTTGCTAGTACTTAAGATTTCATTGTACCAATGCAATTCCTTGGGCCATCGCCGAAAGGAAGATAGAACATCGCATCTCTACTTTGTACAAGTTTCCTTTCAAATCTCTCTGGATCGAAAACGTCCGGATTCGGATAAATATTTGGATCTCGTTGAATAGCGTAAACGGGTATCAATATTGGTTGTTTCTTCGGTATATTAATTTTAGTACCTTCAAAAGTATAATTCGATGTCGATTGCCTCATCAAAAATGTTGCTGGCGGATATTTTCGTAAAGTTTCTGCTTGTAATAATGATAATAAAAGGTAAGTTATGCAAATGCACTTAAATGAATTTGAATTAATTCGTATTAAACTGATAATTATCGTGTGTCAATAACAGCATATTTACCGCTTATTTAATTTTCTTCTCGAATTACGTACCTTTGACAACTTTATCCAGATATTCCATCTCTTTGATGCTATCGTATGTTAAAGCGCCACCATGTTTTGCATATACGTGGTTAATTTCCACTCGCAGTGTATTCTGTATCATATGATTCTGCGCTAATTCGTAAAGAGTATTGGTCATGGTCGATGATGAAGTTTCAAAACCGGCGAGAAAAAATATGAATGCTTGAGAAACAATTATACTGTCGGTCAATTCTGAAACATATCTTCTTTTTTTTATCAAACCGCATTTTATAAACTTGTACATAATTCTGGATAATTGTACAATAAAAAAATCGTTATAATAATTAATAATTGATATATAATAAATCCACAAAGCACAAATGTTCAAAAGATATCCTTTAACTCGTCTTAGATATGTCAAACGTCTCTAGAATGTCTCTAAGATGTCTTTTGAACATTTGTGCTGTATAGGAATAGAGGAGATTGCATTTATTGTTACACTACAACAGAAAAATTTGATTCTACTTTATTCTAATTTGTAAAATTATGTCTTATACGAATTTTTAAAGATTTTTTGCAAAAACATCTTGTTCATGTAAACAACAAAATTTATTATATAGGTTAAATAATTGATATTTACCAATATCAATTTTGTCTGGATACTTTTTTAGTTCACGTAGCGCATCAACAAAATCATGTCTGACGACATTATTTTTTTCTCTATAATCGATATTGTCCATGAGAATGCGTGTAAAGAATTTAGTGACCTTCGTTTGTGGTAGAATGCGCCCAAGAATATCAAAAAACCACGGCGCAGATTGTTTAATTCTGAGTCGTATCAAGTTATACCACTTGGGATGAAATGCCTCTCTTCCCATTTTGAGAAATTCACACTCTATGTCCGATAAAGAATTCGTATCGATACCGAAGGCACAACTAGCGATAACATCTGTTGTATATTTAGCCATCAGCTCATAACATTCTATAGGCTCTTTCCTGCTCACTAATTTTTCCATATATCGTTCCAAATGTTCGGAACATTCTAATATTTGAGGAAACATTTCCTTCAGCTTACCAGATGTAAAAACAGGCCTCAGCTTTGATCTTAAAGGTCTCCACCTTTTTTGCTCCAAAGCGACTAGATGTTGCGAAAGCGGATCGGCCTAAAATAAAGTTTTCATCTAAAGTTTTCCATCAAACACAAATATATAACAGTTACTTTGTCACAATATAATAAAATGTAACATATAATATATCGTAAATAGTGCAAGTATCATATATGTTGTAATTTTTCGTTTTCATGCGAAGTTGTAGTTATCTTACATAAACGTAGTATACTATTGGGAGTACAAATTAGTTCGGTCCGTTTTTTGTGGTCAAAAATGCATTTATTTCAGAACAAAATGAATGAACAGATTAATCAAAGTATTGTGAATCGCTGACTACTACTTTTTCTCACCATTCGGACAATTTTCGAACTCCATCTCAAAAAAATATCTCGTCTTTTGAGGCGATCCCAGTTAGGAGCCAATTTTCGATTTCTGCGATAGAAGTGAACCGGTGACCTGCCAAATCGTGCTGCATCCGTCGGAACAATCAATAATTAGAAGGAGCAATGTCCGGCGAATACGGCGGGTGCGGTAAAATATCACATTTGAGCGTTTCCAAATAACTTTTTACGACTTTTGCGACATGAGGCCGAGCGTTCATCATGTAGAAAAATAACTTTGTCATGTCTTTGCTCGTATTCCGGCCGTTTTTCTCGTAATGCACGGCTCAAACGAATCAATTGTAGCCTACACCGATGGCCCGTAATGGAATCGCCAGGTTGTAGCAGCTCATAGTATACAACATCCTTTTGGTCCCACCAGATACACAGCATGACCTTCGAACCATGAATATTCGGCTTTGGTATTAATGTTGAGGTCGATGGCAACGGTTGACCGGCCATAGCGTAATATTTTTTCTACTTGGGGTTATCGTAGAATACACATTTCTCATCCCCAGTCACAATCCGATGTAAAAACCCTTTCTTTGTTGCCTTTGAATCAGCTGCTCGCAAGTAAAAAATCGCCTTTCAACGTCTCTCTGTTTCAGTTCATAAGGCACCCAATTGCTTTGCTTGTGAATCATTCCCATGGATTTCAATTCGTACGGAAACTGCTTGTTGCGTAACTCCCAATGATTTTGCAAGCTCCTCTTGCGTTTGACTCGGATCTTCATCGAGTAATGCCTCCAATTCTTTGTCTTGGAATTTTTTGGCTGTCCAGAAAGAGGCTTGTCTTCAACGCTGAAATCACCATTCTTGAAACGTCGATATCATTCCCTACACGATTTATCAGTTGGAGCATTGTCATTATAAACTTCAACAAGCATTCGATGCGCTTCAGCTGCACTTTTCTACCAATTAAAGCAGAAAACTAAAACCTCCCGCAAATGCTGCTTATACAAAATTTGACATATTCAACACACTAAAACACAGGGGTTTTGTATGAAACTCAAAGCGATATAAACTGAGTATTATTGACAGATGTCTAACCTCTCTGAAACCACCGAAATCAGCTGTCACTATGAAACATTCATAACAGCCAGAGCCATCTTTTGAAAACGGACCGAACTAATTTGTACTCCCAATATTAAAATGTTTTATGTTCGGCGTTACGCGCAACACTGAAAAAGTGATTTGGTAATATCTCTAAGCCTGGGTGACAATTATCAATTGGCTTAGCGAAGTAGTTTCAATTAAATCTTAAGCGAATATTACCAAATAATTTGGTACATATGAATCAATAATCTTAGTAAAGTATTGATATTTGTTAAGTTTGTAAAGCTTAATAACTATTACCAATTTATATATTACGCATTACCAAGCAATTTGTTAAATTATACCATTTTATTCAGTAATATTTATTAAAGAGAATATGTGAAAAGATTTGTAGCAATATTTTGACAATGTTGACACTGAATTCAAATTTCCGCGATTCTAAAATGTTTCGAGAAATCTGAAAACACCACAAATTCATTTAGTCTCACTGTAAGAATTTTAGAAAAAATTATCGGGATCGTGATGACTGGGCTATGAATCAAATCAGAGGTCTCTTGTTCGATAAGCGAAAGTACTATCATCTAAACTACTTAATCATTCTCAATCCAATATAACCACTTTTTATTTTCCTGTGATGTTATTATCAAGATTATTTAGTAACAGTTATCAAATATTTGGTTAACAATGTCCAACTATTGTATTTTGTAATTATTACAAATTATGTCGTGTTATATACTCAATAATTATATTAGTTCAACTTAATGAAAAATTGTATGCTACTACTTATTTTGTAACTATTATCAAGTAGTTGACTATCACCACAACTATCACCACACTTGGTACTAATTATCATATATTATAATGAAATGGTTAGCGAAATATATAATGATATGCAATGTGACGAAGAATTCTTGGAAAACAATTCAATTATATATCAAATATTACATAAAAACTGAAAAAAATTATACCTTTTCGTGAGTAGTAAATCCTCTCTCGGCAAAGATGGAGAAATTTTTTATAAGAATGTCCTTAATTAATCCTGGATCTTTTACGATAAGGACGGGAGTTCTTCTAACAAATATGCCAATCAATGGCTCATCTTTGTACATGTTATATGCTACCATCAAATAATCACACATTGCTTTTCTAGCAAACATTACGTCTTTGACATTACCAAAAAATGCAATAGGTTGCGGGCCGCGAATGTTGCGTAACTTCCAAAAGTCAAAGGTTGATGTCAAGTAATAATAAAAAGTGAGAATTATGGCAATAATACCATATAGAATTTCTGAAGCTTCCATAGCTATTATTTTGTTGGCCGTTGATTAATGATGAGATGTTTGCTGAAAAAGCAATGTTCAAATAAAAATAACCAAAATTAAATAAATAAGTAAATAAATAAATAATAATTAATATTTTGTATTAAAATATAAAAAAATGCATGTTCATATATTATTATATTGTCTGTTTCACAACAAAGTATATGGCCTTAATACAAAACGATTGGTTGTAGCGTCATTTACTTTATGACATTGGAAAGTTTGGAATATACCTATTTGCACAGTATATACTTTGTAGTCATTCCAATATTACGGTTTGATTAGAGCGGAAATTTTCCAAATGAGTGCTAAATATTTCAAACATTACGAGGCAATGTTTTTAGTTTTACATGCGAAAGGAGCAAAATAAACATATACTCAGGCTTCAAAAGCGGTTAGAAAGTCGAAGTCATTCAGAAGTGGGTGAAACCATATAAAGGATTAGGGAATGTTGACGAACTTGTCAGAAAGAAGTTTAACTCGTGCGTCGCCGACGAGAGAGGACAAAACGATCATTCGTCTGTTTGAACGAAACCCTACACTAACATTGCGCCAAGCTCGAGGTCAACTTCGTGAAAAGGGTATAAATGGAATAAATACCATAAAACGTCGTTTATATGCATCGAATGTAAAATATCGTTCCATAACTAAAATGCCTCTTCTGACATAAAAACATGTTACAAGACGACTGGCATGAGCTTATGAAAATTTAAATTTAAAGAACGTTATCTTAACGGATGAAATTTCTTTTTGAGCATGATCACCTATAAAAGCTTAATCAGTTCCAAGTAATAAGATCGTCCAGCGGATAGTTAAGCATCCGTTAGCATTAACATCAGTTTAACATTCATATATGGGACGTTTCTGTAAGCGTGGTTTTGGTTGCCTCTATTTGTTCACTAATAACTTAAACACTGAAAAAATGCGTTGTATTTATCAGAAGTGTTTGTTGACATTTGCTGAGAAATTTTATGGAAAAAATAGAAAAAATTGAGAGCTTCAGGAAAGTAACGACCCCAAACATCGGAGTCACCTCTGCACAGAATGGAAAGCTGAAAATTGCATCATTACAATGAATTAGCCTGCATCGTCCCCAAATGCGAATTCAATTGAGAATGTATGGTCTTACATAAAGCATAAACTAAGAGGGAAATATATCTTTAGCAATTCTCTCTTAAGCAATTGTACACCTGAATCAGAAAATTATTACGCTCTTTACAACTTGAATATAGTAAAAAATTGGTCGAAAGCATATCAAGAAAGTGTTAACACATTGCGGACCAAACATTTTATTGCTAACCGTACCTAGTAGCCGAGTATGTTTTCGCCTCTAACAACGTAGTATGAAATACGAGATATCTCGTCATCCGTCCGCAATGTGTAAAGCTATAATTGACAATGGAGACGATAGGACCCATTATTAAGTTATTGTGCAATATCACTTTGTATCTAAAATCGTTTTTTAGGTTGTATATTTTCGATATGCTACCGTGTACTTTCTTGTGGAACAGACTTTATTTTATTCTTTTAAATAATATTTCTATGTGTACTCAGCTGTTTACATTTATATATAATTTTACAGAATGACGAGTTTCATATTGTTATACTTTTATATTGTCATTACTAAAATTTTCAGCAAAATATTTTGTTGTTCCGCTATTGCTAGATTTCGTTATTGGTAGGTAAGCTTTGACTGCAATGGGATTTCCCATTGTAATTTGTAGCCAGAGATTAGGTTACATAGTTTTTTTAATAAAAACATTGATATATGTGTATGTGTATGTGTGTGTGTGTATATATAAATGTCTTTCATAAATAGCTATTTATTTTATCTTCTGAATTAAAAAAGACGAATTATAATAAATATATATTAGATTAAATAGTTTTATCTAAACTTTCTTGTGAGCATAGTGGTTAATTAAAACACTTATTTATAGTTAAAAGACAGAGTTATGTTTAATTTTTTATGTTAATATGGGGACTTCGATATAATGAAAGTTGTAAAACGTTGCTTATAATGAATACAACGATGTATACTATAATGNNNNAATACAACGATGTATACTATAATGGAATTATCTGTTGAGTTTACAAAAGACAATTCTTTTCGTGTAAAGTTTCTCTGTAAATTTAATCTGTGTGAGTAACACTGAATTATAATAATATTTGAACGTGTGCTAGCGAGAAATTTTATTGTAGCTTCATATCAAACTAAATAAAAATAAATGATAGGAATTTATTACACAATAAAATTACAAATTTATGTAATGAGTATAACATATAATATACTATAATATATTCTATTGTCTTATATTATGTACAAATATA